TATATATATATAACATGCACATGAAATAAAGAAGGAAAATATATTGAATATAATCATTACAGTTATCAAAGTACTATAACATTCATAACAATTCTCCTTTATTCTTGTCTACCATTTATGCATTAAGTGAAGTAATTACCTTATGATGTGCCTGTTTCAAAACATATCTATTAAATTACCAAACTCCATTTCATTTATTTAAAACAGGACTGACATGTTTGGTACCCATATGTAATGAAGAACACTGACCACACCAATATTGGTATAGACACATATCTGGTATACATTCTTTACAACATGAATGCATACCGAGAATACAGCTATTGACACAGGAACTGTGTCGTGACATTCAGCAGCCAATTTGTTCTCTTACAGAGCAGATCAGATTTTAATGAGCAAAAACAAAATGGCAGACAAACAAAAGAGGGGTCTCTGTAGTTGACACTGCTGGCGAGAACGGCAAGTCATAACATGCAAACTGGCTGCAGGCTGTGGGAATACAAAACACATATACGGGTCAATGTAGCAGTCTGAGCATTGCAGAATGTCTAGGAAAAGATCAAGCTGTCACTCTATAATAGACTGGAGAGTAAGATGATAAATGATGGTCACAAGAAGGGGGAAAGATGTTACCTGCCTAGGTTTAGTTATCCAAGCGGCTGCACCACAAGGTGCCTGTATATACCTTTACTGTATCCCCCCACTACCAGAGTCCAACAAAATTCCTGTGCATTTGTAACTCCCTACAAGCCAAAAAAAGGCTATACCCCCACTGTCCCACTTAGTGCTGTGGTGACTGGCTACTCAGTGCTGAGCTATGAGAGGCACAAGGGTGGGTAACAGGTAGTCCCATACCTGGAAATATGGGTATTTAAAAAGGAGCTCCAGAAGCTAAAATGAGCCAGCACTGCTGCACCTCCAGTTTTAAAGCTGAGCCCCAGGCACAAAAGCTTTCATTGAAATATATTCCTCAGTAGTCAAAAAGGATATAAATCCAATTTATGTGCATTATATGCCTTTGCAAATTAGACATTACCTTCTAGAAGTAGCAGTTACATTATCACTGTGCTGTGCATAGTCTGTACAGAGACTTGGGAGGGGTCTAGCATGTCCTCCCATTACAGACTGCCTACTAAAGGAGGGAGGTGGATACAAGACCAGTCACCCTGCACAAGGAGAGAGAACAGCAGTGACTGGTCTTAATACAGGAAGTCCATGCACGGAGGCAACATTTCACACTGAATTACTACATGGATCTGGAAGAAATACACCAAATCACACAGGATTCAATTAAACTACACATGACTCTTATAGTATGACCATATTTGCTTATCCCAGAGTTCAGATTTATAGTATTAATCTCTAAATGTTGTTTTCAGTATTTAATCCAGATCAAACAAATGTACATTGCCCTGCAAAGTATTTCTTTATTATGTTCTCCAAGCGCTTACAGTCATTGTGTTTTCAAACAGCTGGTTCCAAGTCTCTCAGCTCTGAATTTCCTGTCCAGTACAGGATCACAAGGGACAGAACAGTCTCTAGCAGCCATCCATCTACAAGCCTGAAGAAGGGAGGAGGAAAGAGAGAGCAGGAGAGAGGAGCAGGGGGAAGGCGAGTCAGTTGCCTTACAGTGTCTGCGTGTTTGAGGAGACACACACAGCTTACTAGAACACACAAGGGTGTCGCTATATGACACTGCAAGGAAAAGAAGCAACCCTAAAACAGTATATCAGGGCCAGTGCTCAGGGGACCAACTAGTTCTGCAAAACCTTTACACATCAAGATACCTGTTAAGTGATTTAAACAGTATTTGAAATAGCTTCAAAACCTTTTAACTTTAACCACTTTAAGACCAGGTGTTTAGACCCCCTTCCTGGCCAGGCCATTTTTCAGTGTTCAGCGCTGCAATACTTTGACTGACGTTTATTCAGTCATGCAACGCTGTACTGAAATTAATTTTATACCATTTTTTGGGGACAGATAGAGCTTTATTTTGGTGGTATTTAATCACCACTGGGGGGTTTTGTTTTTTACTATAATTAGGAAAAATTACAGAAAATTTTGGAAAAAAAAAAGTTTATTTTTTACATTATGTTGTGGGGGGAACCGATCGGCACCCCATACACGCGATCCGCCGGCTCTATAGGACTTACCTAAAATGATGCCTCTTGATGCGATCATCTTCTTTTTTCCTGTAGTTTTCAGGAGTCCCTCCAGCGCTGGTGCCGGTCTCTAAACGCTGACTGCTGTGTCTTCTGTGTACCATGGAGTCTGTGCACGTGCACGCTGCTGGGCTGTGTGCATTGACTTACCCTGTGTCTCTCCTCTTCTCCTGGCCGAAGACCTCTACTGCGCATGTGCCCACCTAATAATCCTTTGCGGCTGCCACAGAATCTTTTTGGTAACTTTCTCTTTTTTTAAAATGTTTTTGCATATAACTGCTGCTTGCTAGCAGTAGATATATGGGGAAAAAAAACTCTGAAGGTTTAATTATTATTTTTATTTGATTATATTATTTATTTATTTTTACTTGAAAGATTATACCATTTAAACATGATATGTATTTATAATATACAATAGAATCTTAAGGCAAAAGGCACATTCAACATGACAATTAATAAACCCTACTGACAATCCTGTGTAGCAGAAACTATAAAGGTGCCCATACACCTTACGATTATCGTACGATAATCGTATGCGATCGACTTTTCGTACGACAATCGTAACGTGTGAATAGAGTGCCCGACCGATAGTACTGTACAATCGTACGACTTTTGACGGTCAAGCATGTTTGAAAACTTTGGATGATCGTACGATGTTCGCATGGTTGGTGGCGTTTCCGTCCGTCAAATGTCGTACGATTAACACTGCGCATGCGCAAACGAAAATAATTGCGGTCAATTACCGCAAGTCGTTCAGGTGTTTTTTTCTAACTACCGCTGATTGAACCTTGCGATAATCGGGGCAGGATTGGGCCGTCGTACGAAAATCGTACGACGGTTCGATCATCGGACGAAAAGTTTAGTCCGATAATCGTAAGGTGTATGGGCACCTTTAGAGAGCAGAGTGAAAAGATTGATTAGTGCAGAGCACCTCAGGGAAAACTGACATTTTATGGATTATATTTCACCAGCTGTAGGGCTCCACCTAGAGAAACCAGGAGGAAGCATGACATCTAATCCCTTAGCTGGCCCACGTAAAATATAGACGACCAAAGTACAATCAACTGACACATTAAGTGGCACGTTTGCTTGTCTCATGCATGGGTTTCTTCCTTGAAATACACATGGATTGTGCTTGCTTCCTAGTTGACAGGATGCATGTTTTAATGGCAGAGAACAAAACTGTTTGATTTTCATGATTTCACATTAAACGTGTATGTGTCACATCCAGTATCCACTGGATGTACTGGTACCGAGTAGATCATTGGTAAAATGCTGGATTTAACAAAACCAAGCTGAACGAATATATAAGTGACAAGGTAAAGCCTGTGGAACAGAGGAATTTGTATCCACTTCATTCAGCCTAAATTTCCCGAGGTCTCTAAAACAAGTTAAATATTTATGCTGTGCAGCCTCCACGGCCAATGAAATATTCATGTGCCCGACTTGTGAGCTTCACCAGCAAGTGAGCGATTTGAAGACACACATAACACTAGTCTATCAGAGAGTGGACATCAGAGCCGGATACATGAAGACACCAGAAACAAGAAGCATCTGTGTTTTCATGGCAGCCAATCAGAATTTGTAGTCGAAAACAGATGTAATATAATTGGTAAGGACAATATAGACTTTGAGACACTGGGAGGAATTTAATCAAAACTGGAGCAGCTTCCCGTAGTAACCAAACAACTTCTCTCTTCAGTTTGTTGAGCCTTGAAAACAGAAGAGACGCTGACGGGTTGCCATGGGCAACTGCTCCAGATTCTGTCTGCTCCAGTTTGGATCAATTTCCCTCACTATTCGCTACTTCATCTATAACCTTTTTCCCAGCACAGCCAAGAGTTTAGGTCGCTGCGAGAAGCTACTTACCCAAATATTTTGCTCGCTCTTCTCTTCTCTCTTTTGCCTGCTTCTGCCGTTGCACTGCTTTCTGCGCGTCTGTGAAGAAACGAAAAAAAACACAAGCTCTAGTAAATCTGGATTCTCTTTGTGATACAAGACATTATGGGGTATTACCATACATGACATGTACAGTAGGCTAGAAACAAATGAAACTTTTTTGTTTTAGATAAATATATAAAAACAAAATCAGTATTATTGTTTTTTGTAATAATAAATATGCACATGCAGAGGCGTCCATATGATTCTCGCTGCCAGAAGCGGTGCAGGTCCAGGGGGATTGGATGGGGTGGGGCGTGCTGGGTGGCAGCGGTGCAAGTTGGTTGGGCAGGTCCGGGTGGGTGTGGGGGCTGGGATTCGGTGCAGGTTTGGGGGGAGGGTTAGCGACATGCGCAGCATCTTTGTCCAGCCCACTGACATTACTGATTGCCAGGAGCTAGACAGAACACCATCCAGAGCACCCTGTTCAGCTCCTGGCAACCAGTGACGTCAGTGATCTTGGCGGGATGCTAGCCAGAGCTCTTGGCAACCTGTAACACCCAAAAAGGGGGCACCAGGCACACCTGTTACCCCTCATTATAGGGATGGACCTGTGTACATTAGTAATAACCACTTCTCTAGGACCTGCATCGGCGGACTTCTGTTTGCTTCATGCACTCCCATGCCAGTCTACGGATATGCAAATCCTGCTAGAAGCAGGTCAAAAGCAGGAAACCTGCAGGTTAAATGCACCGGTCAATGATTTCTGAGGGCACAATCCCGCTGGCTGTGCAGGCTAGTGTCCACATGGCAGGGGGCTGTGCTTGGTGCTGTTTCACATTTTTCTTTAAAAAAAACACTTTATTGAAGGGTCACAAAATGACAATTAATGAAAGTTAGCGCACTGCAGATGAGTGGCGTTGCAGTAACTGACGATAATACCAGATGAGCTTTGGTGTATTGTGGAAAAATACTGCACGACTGCATTGTTCTGTAATGCACTGCGACCCACCTAAAGTCAGCGTTGCAGTGTGAACAAGGCCCATAGAAAACAATTGTTATCTGTGTGTATGTGATTCCATTCAGGTCCATGCACTACACTGCCGTGTGGTGACCTGCAGTGGCAGCATGTTTGCATTTTTCAGCAGCGCACAACTCATCACACCTGCGTTGTGGTGTGAAAGGACACATAGAAAACAATTGTTTTCTATGTGTCTTAGCAGTGACCTGAGATGATCAGGTGTGGTAAAATGCAGGTCATTGCTGTATGTGTAAACGATCTTAGAAGCATTTCAAACTGATGCCATGGACACATGCCCAAAGCCCGTCCACACAGACACGCACTCTGGCACAGTTTCCCTGGCCCATGTCACACTGGCATCTTCGTAGCAGTTATTTGCAATAGATATTGAATCGCTCTCCATGTTTTTGATGCAAGAAAAAACCATGGAGGGAACTTTTCAAAACTGGAGCAGGCAAAATCTCGGGCAGCTGTGCATGGCAACCAATCAGCCTCTGCCTGTCATTTTCAAAGGTTAGCTGAACAAACTAACATGAAAATCTGATTGGTTACTATGGGCATCTGCTCCAGTCTTAATAATTCCCCATCAATGTATTTCTGTAGGTGCTAAGCGGTTGACTTTTTGCAGTGTTTGGAGCTAGATATAGATTTGCCAGCTTCAGTTGCTACTCATGTTATGCCATGCAGCTGCTGATGACCATAGCACACCGGGGATTTGTAGCTGCCCAGATCAGCATTGTAGCCAGCTACAGCAGCAACTTTGTAACCAGCAACATATTACCAGAGAAAAAAAGCAGAGAGATTTGGAGCTGCTACAAAGTTGCTAAAGTAATGCTCTACATCACACCAGCAACTTTGTAGCAATGACACCTAGCCACTACAAAGCTCTCTCCATGTTCTCTGATGATTTGTAGCTGGATTTTTAAAGTCCATCTCTGGGCAAACAAAAAAGTACCCTTGCAGTGGAGATACCCCTGCAGTGCACGGGTTAAATGTGCAATTATGGGGGTTCAAATAAAGCAGATTTACTTACCTGCTCCTTGCTTCCCCAATGGTCAGCACTGCACTCTTTGCCTAGTCTATGAACTAGAACTAGTCTATGAAGACCATCTAATGAAGGTCTTTGGAATGTGATGACATCAGCAGCCCTTAGACAGGGGAAAAAACTGCAGGGACCGGTCTAGCAGCCCTGAGGGAGCTGGCAGGAGTGGGGATCAGGTGAGTACATTTTTAAAGTGCAATTGATCTATGGAACCTGCCTAAAGGTGGCCATACACTTTACAACCATCGCAAGACCTTAGTCTTGCGATGGTTGTAAAGTACTTAAAAAAAACGTACGATCTGCCCATCTTGGACAGGCAGATCGTACTTGCGATCATCGCAAGCCCGCCCCCTTGAGGGGCGGGCTTGCGATGACTGCAATGAGGGGCGGGCTTGCAAGCACGGCAAACGGGCAGTGTGTGCGTGCGCACACCGGCCCGTTCGTCAGTTGTCGAACAAGCAGGCCACTCACTCGCCGAGAATCGTACGATTCCCGGCGGGTTTTCCAGCCTGCATGTTCGATGGAAGACGTGCGACCGGACAGTAGAAACGGTCGCACGCCTTCCATACACTGTACGGTTCTCGTACGATCGCGGGATTTCCTGCGATTCTCGTACGAGAATCGTACAGTGTATGGGCACCTTTAGACGTAATTACATCAACAGCCCATCAATAGGGGAGAATAGGTTTCGGGACCGGTCTAGCAGCCCTGAGGGAGGCAGCTCACTTTTTTTTCTAGTTTTGGATAGAGTGGAGAGGGATTATAACACCGGGCAGGTTTTTATTGCTGTCAAATCAGAAATCTTGATGACCACCAGGCATTTCCTTCACTTTGAAAGGATTTCCTCTTGCTTCCTGTTGTGGTTATTAGACAGGAAGTGAAAAGAAATCTTCAGTTACACTTTAATGCTCGTCTATGCAGCTACAAAATACTGGAATGACGCAGGCATCAGCAGCTGCATTGGATAACATGGGTAGTTACTGATGCTGTAAAACGTCAACCGCTCAGCAACTGAGCCACAAACTGCTAGAATTGCTGCAACACTGACCTCTCTGACTGCAGATGCATTTTCCTTGCTACAAAAATGCAAAGTGATCACAAATCACTATCATTGAAAGTTGCATGTGCAAGTGCTACTTTCTGTGCAGTATAGTAATGCAATGATCACCCAAAAAGGTGGCTGCCAACAAACTGTGCTAAAGTAGAACTGTATATTGAACAGCCAAAGTGCACAAACCTAGCCAAAAGTATAATAATATTAAGTTCTGTGTGAATCCCAACAGGTCAGATCAGCCATCACAGGGACATCAAGAGTAAGTCCTCTTGCCCTCCACACTATGGTCACTTAAAAGGGAAGCGATGGTGTCACACTTACGTTGCCAGACTAAACAGCAAGAGTGTGACAAAGATTAGAGCTTAACAATCGCTCTCAAACATGCAAGCAACAGAGGTAGGAAAACCATAGGGAGAGTATTGCCACGGGCCTTAGAGATAAAAGAAGCCTATGAATATTTAAACAAAAAGTCTTAAAACACAGGGGGGGGGGGGTGGAATTTTTTTTTTTAAAAAAAAAAAAAACATAAAAACAGAGGGGGGGGGGGGGGTGAATTTATCAAAACTGGAGCAGTTACCCATGGCAACCAATTTGCATTTCTCTTCAGTTTGCTCCGGTAAGATTTGAAAAAGAGACAGAAGCTGATTGGCTGCAGTGCAAATCTGCTCTAGATTTGGTCTGCTCCAGTTTTGATAAATTCCCCCCAGAAAGTCTTCATTTTGCAAGGGATAGGTACTGTAATTATTAAAGATAAAAAGGTATTTAACAAGTACACAGATCCGCAGTGGTGAGTATTCCACCAAAGCACATGGGCTTGTGGTCTTAGTTCAGCCCTGGCTGTGTAAAATTTGGGAATTCAGATCACCAAAAATAAGGAAACATTATATTTGTTTCTTAATTTACCACTGAATGTCCTTTTGGAAAAAGGACACATCAATTACATTTACCAGTTTAGACCACTAATTCTATTAGAGATGGCCCATCTTAGAAAATGTTATATAATATACAATTGTAAAGGCTGAATCAATCTCAAGCTCATCATCCTTGGGTTATTTAGGCCTAATCTTGTAGGCTTGTAGAGTACATAAGATCTCAGCTGTCCCCCAGTCCATCCTTACATATTTGTTTAGGACAGGTATTTCAACCTTAATAAAAAAAATTACATCAAGCATAGACATTGCTGGGTAACAATTAGTTCTACCCAAGTGTAACAAAGGGTTAGGTTACACTGCTAAGCAGCTCTTCTAATGCCACTCATACCCCTTACACATTAGTGTAATAATATAATGGGTTTTTATCTTCACAGGCACACTTTGGAAATACTAACGGTCAGCATTTTTTTTTTAACAGAGGGAGATCTGAATATTATAAAAGTGTACCTTAAAGCAGAGCTCCGGTGAAAAATGTTATCTCTTGCAGTGGGGGCTACCCCCACACTGCAAGGGTTAACTGCTCATTCTTCCCTAGGGTAAAACAAAAGTTATTCTCATCTGATCCTTTGAGCCAGCCCTTAGACCAGTCCTTGGAGCCTTTTCCCCTTCGCTGCAGCGGTCCGAGAATCCTCAAATCGTCACATCCAATACAGTGTATAGGACGGGAGGATGCTGAGGGACATACCATCGCTGCAGCAGAGAAGACAGGCAGGAGGGAGCACTGTCAGGGCCGGCCAGCTTGGAAGTTGCAGCAGAGAAGACAGCCAGCTTGGAACTGCAGCAGAGAAGACAGGCAGGAGGGAGCACTGTCAGGGCCGGCCAGCTTGGAAGTTGGGGCAAGCATAACTTTGTTATTTTTGACCCTAGGCAAAAAAAGAGCAGCTAACCCTTGCAGTGTGGATGTAGCCCCACTGCAAAGGGTTAATATATTTCGAACTGGAGTTGTTCTTTAAATTGTACTGCAAGGTCCGATTTTCCTTTCCTTATTTTGTTTGAGCCTGACATTTTGACTTGTGTCAGGGGTAAGAGGTCATCTGAAGCCAGACAGATGCTGTCCTGTTAACTCTGTGCACTGACACATTGGGGGATATTTATCAAAATGGTCTTTTTGCTTGTGGTTGTGAACATGTCGGGGGGAACAAGACGGGGACAGAGGCTTTTTTTCTGTTGTTATGAAAGCAGTTTTCTGCTGCTTTGAAAAGGAACATATCTGCAAGAGTTTAAAAAGTGCTCCTTAGCATGTAAAAGTTCTGCAGCAGATGTGAGGTTTATTGACCTTGCAAAATAAGTGCTCCCAGTTGTGGCATACAGTCACTATCTGGTCGCACAACCATGCAAAACTGAAATTGTCACTTTGATCACAAAACAGGTCCAAAGATTAGAGCACGCCAAATGCACACAATTTGATACACAGTTGTGTTAATAAATGTTCCCCATTGTTTTCTGTTGGTGAGGGTGCTCTCCGCACACCTTACAGCAGTCCCGGCCAATAAGAACGATGGTGCTTGTAGTAACGACCACGGATGGCACCGTGCAAAATACAAAGTAAAAAGACAGGTCACCAGCACTCCAAATAATTTAAATAAGTATGTCCTTTTTAATGGACAATTGTGTCACAATAATCAACAAAGCCGATGTTTCGGGGCCGCGCAGGGTCCCTTCTGCCTGTGCAGGGTCCCATAGATTTCTATGAGGCACGTCTACCTTTGTCTCCCAGACTTTTATTTCTCTTTCAGCACTTACGGAGTCTCAAGGTATTCTCAGTTATGCAAATGAGGAGCTAAGGGGTGCACCATTGTTGGGCTGTCCTTAGGACATCAGATGCCTGTTATCTGGTCCTGACTCCAGTGATAGGAATCTGAACATGTTGGTAGTAGTCCTGGTGTAAAACCAATGGTAAACTGCATGCTGAATTTGGTTCATAGTACACCCACTTTTCAGGTACATTATAAACAGAAATAAGAAATAAAGATACATACCTTGTTTTTGCCTGGGACTAACAGCAGCAGTAGGAGAAACAGCAGCAGGTGAAGACGAGACATCACTCTTCTGGATCTGTCCCTTTGGAGTAGTGACATTTTCCACCATTTTCGATGTGCTTGGGGTTTCTGTTTCTAACAGGGAATTCTGTTCTTCAAGGGATAATCTGGGTCCTTCCTCTGTTTTAATACAAGTACTCGCTATCTGTGATGAAGGAGAAGGCCCTTCAACTTCTGGTACAGAAATGGGTCCCTGAGTCTTTTGAGAAGTGGTGTCATGGCTCTCAGCCGATGAAGTGGAGTTGGCAGTTACTTCCGCTGTCCTTGTGCTTAGCTGATCAGCTTCTAGTCGAGTGTCCGAGCTCATGGTTGCTTGCTGTATGTCATTTTCTACTGCTGTAACTTTGTCACCTGGAAGAAGACAATATCTAGTTAACAGAAGGAAGATGGCCTGCTGAACAACAACAAAAATTATAGATAAACATGATAAAACTGGTAATCTGCGATCCTTACGGAGATGGCTGGTGGACCATAAAATGTTCACATACAGCCAAAACAAAAAAGTAGCCACGGTTCATGATAATTTACCTTTAGAAAACGATAACTTTCAGGTAATTGCCTGATATATACCCACACTTTTTAAAGATTGTGATTGATTTTCTTTGTGTATTGTATCTCGATTTTTTGCAGCATTAAAACAAGCCATACAAGGTGCAGGAGTTTTCCATAATAAAGACCGGTCACTGATGCTCTCTTTTCTTATGCAGGGTGACTGGTCATGCATCTGCCCCCTCCTGTAGTTTCCTACAGGCAACTCTGCAATTTGCAGCACTTTGATGATATCACTGCTGCTTTTACAGCAATACCTGGGTTTGTAAAGGCATTTAGTGCACACAAAGTTCATTTATGTCCTTTATACCTATTGAGGACTGTATTGACGAACATAAACATGGGATGGATCAGTCATCATCTGTTATACATGCAGGCTGTGCTCTTACTTAAACATAATGGTATTGTTTACATGTGTAACCATAATAACCATTGAGTGTAACCATAGTTAAAATAACCCTAGTTCTAGAAGAAAAAGGAAAATATCTCTACAAAGTTTGCTCTGATTTGCTTTTACAGGAAAAAATAAATTCCTTCCTGACCCATAAAGATCCTTAAATCAACATCTACTTTGACCTTTACTGAGCTGTACATTTCTCTTTAAATATTCCTTGGCTGCCATGTTGACCTAAAGGTTTCCGTACATTTCAGGAACATTGCTCCCAGTACAGTTCAGTAAAGGCAGCTTTACTTTCACATTCAATTGAATTTTCTACATGGAGCAGTAACGCACAGGTAATATAATCTACTGGATTCAGTCTGGTTTCAAATAGTGTTGTAACTCAAAACCATTATGATATTTGTTACAGATACAGTAACTGCATTTGGGCTCAAGGTAGAGTCAGTACTGCCGAGGTCCTGTGCTTGGTCTGTGTCCTGCTGTGGCACCTGCTGGCTCTGACTAATCACATCAGAGCCAAAACTTTCAGGCAGACTTTGGGAGCAGATCACTCCATGTTTCTGTTGACTCCTTTACTACGTCGGCCCCCAACCTTTTTGTCACCAGGGACCGTTTTCATGGAAGAAAATGTTACCACGGAGCGGGGGGCGATTGCTCAGCAATGTTAAGAATAGTAACTTGTGTTTTCATATAAAATGATTGCTCAGTGGTGTCATAATACTTTTCATATGACACCTCTGCTCACAGACCCGAATTCTCACGAATGCTATGTGATATACTATTTGACAGCTGAGAATGTCAAATGGGGGAGCGAGCCCTGTGACGTCACGGCTCACTCCGCCCATCTGTTTACTTTCGGGCAGGAGATGTCATTTTAAGGCGAGTCTTCGTCGGATTCGGACAGTCGGGACTTTTTTTTTTATTTTGCCGGGTGTCGTCATTCACGAAGGGGTTAAACTAGTTTACAGATGAAGCCCAAAACCTGTCCCTATTCGTGGGCTTCCCAGTCCCCTGGTAGGATCCCAAGGTCATTCCATTTTCTTAATTTAAAGGCGTAGCAAGGGATTCTGAATCCAAACTTTCCTGGATGCCACAGTGAAGTACTATAATATACCCAATAGGAAAAGTGTAGTAATTCCTTATTAATAAAATGGTTATATGGGGTACAAATTATCACCTCACAATCCCCTAAACACCAATGAAATAGAGATCCCCACTCAGTGGTGGACCTAAGGAACAAAGGGCCCTGATGCAAGATTTTATCCCCACCTACCGCTCCCACCGGTTCTCACTACCGCTCCGCGGTTCTCACTGGCCCCCCCAATCCCCCCAGCAGTGTCTGCACCAGAGGAGCTTACACTCTGTCTCCCAACAGTCGCACACTATTATTATTATACATTTATATAGTTCTGACATATACCACAGTCATGTACAGAGAACACTGAGCCAGTCACATTAGTTTCTGTACAGTGGAGCTTACACTCTAATGCAGAATGGCACTGGCTGTAGGGGGACTACAAATCCCAGCAATGGATTATACAACAAATGCAGAACAGTATATGAATTGGTCTCTGGGCTTCGTAACGCACTGGACTTTGGGCTTCGTAACGCACTGGACTCTAGACCATCTGAAACCCTGCACAGCCCACCTAAGACCGACCCTGCAGAGCCAACTTGAGACCCGCACATTCAAGAGACCCTGCAGAGCCCACCATAGATCCTGCACAGCCCACCCGAGACTCTCCATCATGGGTTCTGCAGGATCTCAGGTGGGCTGGTTAGGGTCCCTTTCCCTGCACACGCAGCCCCTCTTACATGCTGCTGGGCCGCAGCCTCCTCTACCGCCAGACCGGCGCTGCTGGGCCCCAGCCTTCTCCCCCTTCACTGCCAGAACCGCGCTGCTGAGCCCTGGTCTCCTCCACTGCTTGGCCCAGCCTCCTGACCAGGCCCCCTCCTGCCCCAGTCATGGCGGCAGTTACGCCACTGCCCGGGGGCATGCTTGTAGCTCCACCCCTGTCCCCACTGACTGCTGCTCAGTAAAGGCAGAGAGGCTCTGCTCCTGGACAAACACGAACATTTCTAGTTACCTGCTAAGGGACTTTACCTGCATACAGAAGGAGCAGATTGATTTGTCTGACAGATCTAAGGTATGCAGCAAACACTCACTAGACCTAGGTTAAAACCTAGATCCAGCAAACTGATCTGATGTTCACTAGAGGTGTCAATGAGTATTGATACCAAGTCATTTTAGTAAGTATTGACAATTGGATGTAAGGGCATTGTATACTGGAGCTCTAGGCGGATGCACAACAGAAAACAATACAATACAGCATGTGTGCACAATATATTTGTGCATTATGAATAATTCATTTTCATGAGACACATGCTATCAAGAATGGATGACTAACCCACAGACTATTTATAATTATTCTCAGCAGCTAATGTGTTATAACTTAAACTCTTAATGCACTGCAAGAAACAAAAACAAAAAAAAAAAATCGGGCAGCATGCCAGGTTATCATTCTTCATATGAGAAGAAAATAGAAGGTGTTTGTTTCTAAATAACGGAAAGACTTCCAAGTCAAATGAATAGACTTCTAGACACAAAAGTGGTTTATATAAAACACAGTACAACATATTCAAACTTCACTTGGCTTCAAGCACCAATAATGTTGATGTATTTGCACCACTGTCAACTCAATACTGTTAGGGGGGGGAAAAAAAAGGAAAAAAAAAGGGAAAAAAAAAAAGCTAAATTGAGATTGAGTAGCCCACATGAAGTCACACCAACCCACCTATACCCAAATCTGGTCAAATCCTAAGAGCCAGGTCGCCAATGCTCCTTATAAATGACAGCTGGCTCCCAACTTTTGAGTTTTTCTGCAGTTGTTGTTAATGGAGCCGGCTCTGAAAAAAATCCTGCTGGCTCTTGGATAGGACAAACTGGCTCCTGAATTCCATACTAATTTGTCCTCTCCTGCCTATACTTACAGGCAAATGATCTCTTATGGCAAATGTCAGGCTTGCCAGTGGAAGGCACAACAAGAATGCTATACTGGAACTGTTAAACTAGGCAGTCTCAACCATTTTTTTTAACCAGCTTTCATTTGCATGAACAAACAAGCAGAAATCTTGATGATTTCAACATGTGTTGTCTGAAATGGTCGGTGGTAGTTTACATTCATTCGTTTGGTCATTTTGCAATTTTTAGTTGACTGAATTTGCAGGAAATCTGCCATGTGCGGCCAGCATGACAGCTTGTAAATACAAAGTGTGTCTAGTTACAGGTATAAACAATGGTCTGTGGGAGGAAATAATAGTGGCCAGTTATTTTCCACTTCACCACACCAGGCTCACAGCAGATAGTTCTCTATAGAGTGCTCATTATTGTGTTACTTGGGAACTTGGAGTGGCTCTGAATGTTTAAGATTTGCTGAATGATGCTTAGGGATCGATTTAGGAAACACAGCTGTAGGGGGGGTTTCTTTGAAAGTGTAAAGGTAGCATGACGATTCCTATTCACTACTGAATGGATCCCTACCCCCAACAAGGCCTCTCCACTGCAGGAAGTGACCATGGTCATTACAGCTGCCCAGTGTGCATTCTCTCTACAGCTGCCCTCTCCAGGACTGTCAGTAATGCTGCACCTGTCAACCGACAGCCTTGTCTGAGCCACAGCCCTGACCACGGACATCTAGGCAGCTGACAGCTACTATGTACATGGACTCTCCTCAATTATACCAAGGTGCAGCCCTTCATTACAAGGGCACATACTCATCTCAGATATTAACAAAAGGACACGAATACTCATCTTTGTGTGCATGCATGTCTGGGAAGAATTGTACCAGCATGCCCAATATGCTCCTGACTAGTTCTATATATGATACTACATGGCAACCGAAGGGGCAGAATTTAAGCTTTTATTGAGAATGTCTAATGATAGAAGAGGTAGACTTTTCTGTTTTGCATGACCACTTTGAGAGGTTAATTATGATGGATGAACTATAAGACCTCATGCACACACAACGCAAGAGCAAAATTGTATATTGCGTATATGCGTTTATATATGCACACTATATGCAATCCCAGAATGCATCATCCGTAATAGAAATTTTAAGGAACTGTACGCGCATACACACGTGTATATGCGTGTAAAATATGCAGAAATACATTGCCCGGACGCATCTCGGGCCCATTCTGTTTTTGCACATTTTTACGCAGCGCAAATATACGGCTCCATATGCAGCTATGTGTATGGAGCCATTTATTTGCATGTGTTGCATATGGGACAATACACACGTACGCGCATATACGCAGCATAATGTACAGCAGTGTGAATGAGGCCTTAATGTGAACAGACCATGCAAGGGGGGTTTCTCCCATTGCTGGGTGTAGAGCTCAT